ATACAGCTATATTGTAGCAAAAAGCTAAAGCTAATTAATCAATAAAACAAAGATAACGTTATCACGTGAAAGGGCAAAAAATGCAGAAGCCACGTACAAAATAGAGAAACCCCTTAACTTACGCAATCAAAAGGCGACAATAGTGACACAGGGCGTAGATAATCCTAATTTCCAGACACTGTCCAAAATTCAAGAAAAAACAAGGCACTTTAACCACTAAAAATTAATTAAAGAGAGAGTGTCGGTCTTATCACTGCTAATACGCTCTATAAATTCCTATATATACACTACAGATTTAAAAAATACACGTCTGTGCCGATCCCATATACGCGAAATATTTGAAAAGTGCTAAATTAAGCTACCCCTTCAAGCTAAAATCAACGGCGTTGGCACAATTTCGATATCTCTACCCGTTTTCAAGATATAAGGCCAAGGAATTTTAACTGAGACATCCTGTGTATGAAATCCATAATGTAATTTTAATTCTGCAAATCCTTTAGTTATCAGTCACTTAAATTCTTAAATTTTGTAGAATTGTCGTAGGAAGCATCACCACAATTTTTAAGTTTTATTAATTCAGAAGATACACTTGTCAATCTGTTCTAAATAAAAAGCTGTAGTGACGATAATTTGCCAGATATTGAACAATATACTTCCAACTCTGTGTTTAATCTCTATTCATTCGTTTGTGGGAACGCTTCTGTTACGGCATTATCATTATTTAGAATGCTTCAAAATTTTGCTGTATAAACAGAAAAGCAGCTGAAAAATGTTGTGGGAATTCAAATCTATTTTTGTCTAATGGATAACAGTGTCGTAAATTTCCACGAGTATACGTAACATGTTTTATCATTCAACCGTAGTCACCTTTTAGCAAGTTGGTTCTTCTTCATCGTTAGAATTTTCATCAAGTGCAGTAGTTGTCCCAACTTTAAAAATATGTAACTGATACAAAATATATTTGAAAATTTGTGCATTTTGTTACGCCATTTTCGTCCCTTAAATCGAATAAAGAAAATTTCAGCAAATAGGTGGAAATACATATTATTGTTAATAAGGTAGTTAATAAATCTTAATATGACAGCAAGTGCATTGCTTTTTGATTCTGTATCTTCAATAATGTCAAAACACGTAATTAAGCTTCCTTGATACTCGTAGGCCATATTAACTATACTAAGTACTTTAAAAAGTTCATCTTGTCGAAACAGAAACAGACATTTTTCTTTTAACAGTTTTTGTCAGTATTCATTTTGGAGATTAACTGAAAAAAGACCGATACTTTCCACATTGGAAAACTATACTCTGACATCTATACAGTTTGAAGTAGCTGATTGCATTATTGAATTAACTTGATGTACAACATCCAAATGAACAAAATTAGGATACTCATGACAGATGCGCCGTCATAAATTTGACATCAATTTGATAACGCAAAATGATGTCCATCTGAGTGTCGCATCAAATATCGGTACTTTCAACTACTGGAATTGAAAATCAGTGTTTCATTTCCACGTCATTTCTAACATATTTAGAGAGAACACTAGAAGTTATTGACATACCCTTAAATACTTTTCAATAATCCAAATGGTGCTTACCAGCGGTGTCAAGAAATGTAACAAAATCAACTAAACCCCTAAATATTCCAGAATTTGCGGTGTCTTCAGTTTCATTACGCCCACGCATACTGTTTTCATAATTACCACAAAATTTTATGCAGCCTATAATACGTGATAATATGTATCGATTTTTGTCAATACGTTCATTATGTTGGCGAATGCCACGGCGGCATGAACCGTGTCGTGTTCGGATGTTTACTTTATCCAATAAAGCCAAATTCGTTGTTTAAATGCACTCAGCACGTAGAATCTTTTTTAAATTTAGAACAATATGCTTTAAATCGGAAACGCCTGTATTAACTCAAGAATCAGTTTGGTCATTTTCATGTTGCAACTTTTTAATTTCAAGTTGCACTACTTCAGTAACTTTTGTGTTTAACATATAACGTACTTTACAGCATTAATTGACATTGCTTTAAAAATACAACAAAAGCGTGGGTGTATGACACACTTTATCTATGTTTGACGACAAAAACAATACGGCCCACTGCTGCGAGTAGTTGTGTAAAGTCGACACTTTGCGTTTCAAGCGTGTATGCCGCGAGCTTTGTGTGTAGGACAACTACTACGAGCACCACAAGATTCCGTCGAATTTTCTTTCTGTGTAAACTTAATATTTTATATTTTATACATATTCTTCATGCTGATTCATAAATAAATAAGGATGGATATCAAAATTTAATACATCAGAAAAATAGAATTAGGTATATCCTAAATTTTAGGAGGCACGTGGTCCAGTGTTCTCTATCACAGACTGTCCCCGCTAGAATCCGACAACCATAACTTCTAATTGCAAATTATTAAAAGGTGAGCTAAAAATAAATGCTTCTTGAACTACCAACATTTGTATTATTCATGTATTTTACATAATTTCTCTTACGTCCCTAGTATGTTGATGAATATCAAATGACATAAACTTACTCTTTCATGTTGTCGTTATCACCAATGCTACTGTTTTAAATAGTTCTCGAAATTTTCTTGTAGTAATATTAAGGCTCGGATAATATACAAAATGCATATTTTTGCATATTTGCATATTTACTATTTTTTGGCATGTATTGCATATTTTAATGTTAAGTGCATTTTTATGCTTATTTTAAAATTTTTGCTGCATTTTTCATGGTAATTGGTGAAAATTTTAATTTTAATATACAATAAGTACCGACCCTTTCTAGTAATGCGGACGGGTTTTTCCAAGACTTCTTTTATGAGTACACCCAATTAGGTGTATTACTGGAATTCTTTACTTAACGGCCTCTAAGTAGGATGTTGTAAATATAGCTAGTTCTGCAAACATATTTAACGAGGGGATGGAAAACCTAGAATGGATTTGAAAGTATTTCATTCTTCGCTTTCCAAATTCATTCATCGTTCGTCTACGAGCAGTGATATTACGAATAATTAAAAAATTTCTTCCAAACTATCATGGATTCTGCCCTACTCAGAATTGGTTCTAGGTGGAATCCTGCGCGTCTCGGGTTCTAATTTGCGCTCGGTCTAGAATGCTTGGCTTTACAACCTTGGCTAATAATACACTATTTGAGGCCCCTTTAAGAGTACAAGTATATAAAGATACACTACCAGATGTACCATTGCCTCCTAAACCTGTCTTTACACGATGGGATACATGGCTTGACGCAGCTTTATTTTATTTTAAATATTCTTCTGGGATGAAAGAAATCGTGTGAAAATTTGATAGTTCATCAGCAGCAATCAAGGAAGCTAAAAAGATTTTAAATAATCCTAAATTAAACTAGAACTTAAGTTTCATAAATAACAACTACGAATTAATTGGTGTAACATTAACAAAATTAGAAAAACAAAAAGTACCCTTAAGTGAATCCGTAGAGCTAATAGAAAATTTTAAAAATATATCAACAAGGTCCTATTGCCCAAACAGTCTCAAAAAACTAGTAAAAATGGGGGTTTTACTAGATTAACTAATGTGGCAAAAGTTTTAGATGGACAGTTTTCAGATGAGGTAAATATAAATTTTGTCGTCCCTTAAATATGCCCCAATAGCATCTGTCGATGTACAGTGTGGTTTTTCAGTGTATAAATATATTTTAAGTGATCGAATACATTCATTTAAAGTGAAAAATCTAGAAAAACATATTATAATTAATGTAAATAATAATATTTTTCAAGAGAATAACTAGTTAGTCAATAAAATAGCTAGTTAAGTAGTTAATAGAGTAATAGTATACACCGAGATAGTTAGTTTTAATTTGTAAATGTGTAATTCAAGTCCAAATATGTATTATCTAAGTTATAAGTGTTGTAAGAAATGAAATAAAATACTAATGTGTAAAAAAAGTAATTTTTCTTGCATATTTTGCATATATTTCTTACATATTTTATCAATTTTTTGCACATAATGCCAAATTTCTCTGTATATATTTACATATTTTTTTCTGCATATAATTCCGAGCTTTATGTATTATATCGTTTAATATTTTTTTTCTTCCCACTATTGTAAATAGCTAATTTTGTACAATCTAGTCACTGTGTAAATGATTCTTTACGCACAGTTGTGTGTAATGGCTGTGTGTAAGGAATAGGGAACTATTTGTTTTACTAAAAATATGTTGGCAGTACAACTCACCTTCTTATATATTTACAGTGATAATATGAAAATGTTTTTTATTTTCAAGATAAATCTAGTTAAGAATTATATTCTACATATACTATCCTTCTTTTTTGTATTAAATTAATCCTTTATTTATCTGCAAATAGGAACTTTTTTCTTTAGTATATGCGCAGTGGCAGGCATGGACGTTTGACTTTTGTTGACAAAATACAAAATTTATGTCAGAGAAAAGTCTAAAGAAGGTATTTTGTGGATTGTGAGTTTCTCTATTACTACAACAACATAATGTCATCTGAATCAGATTCCGAGATTGTTTGTACACCATCAAATATTGTCGACAAAGCTAATGATAATGACTTAATGAGGCGACAGATTACCTTGTGGCAGCAAAATCTAAAAAGCGATATGAAATAATCTCTACAAATTTTATGGACTGGAGATTAAAGAACAAACTGAAATCGTTTTCTGAGAATGTTGCTGCCTCGCTTATTTTGGCGAAATTTCGAAACAGTTAATGTTAATTATTATGATAAAATGGAATACATTTTTTGTTAAAATGTGCTTTTTTTGGTGGTCGTAGAAAAAGTATAAAACATAACTCGAATGCAAACGCCTATTCCGCACTCGTTAAATTACTGCACTCGCCCCTACGGGGCTCATGCGCAATTTTTGAACTCGTGCGTAATAGGCTGTTTACTATTCTCGTTATGTAATATACTATTACAGGTTGAAGTAGATAACAAACATTGAGTTTTTCTTAGTCGACGATTTACCACACACAAAATAAACTATAATTATCGTTAAAAAATTTATATTTAAGAAAAACTAATACGACAAAATAAAATATCTGGACTAAAAAATATTTCATCTACACCACAACCATAAGCTCATCCCTTGTGGAATTTATTTAGTAGCTCACTTTATGTTTTAGACTATAATTTTTAAATGATGTAAAAAGAGACTGCTCCTGCAGATTTTCCAAGTGGCATTCTGGCATTCCTTCCCCGGTCCTGTTACGTTGTTGTCGATTTTGCCACCAGTTTCATTGTTTACGGTATAAATTACAGATACTTTGAATGACGAATAAAAATGGTGTAGGGCTACCAAAGTGAGGAATTTACGTCATTGGCACATTACATTACGTCAAAACAGGTGATGTACTAAAAGTTAAACGTCAAATGAATATGTATGTCATTTTAAGAAGTACTTACCTCAATCATTCTACTTTAAGAGAATTTCTTTGACATTACAAAATAGTTTGTTTTAGATTTCGATTCTAGGTTTTGCAGATACACCTAATTATTTTATTTGAAATTATATACAAAATAATTTAAAATAAAATAACAAAACTACTGACTTTAAAAATTGGGGTTAATAGAAATGAACTTCAACAAAAATTTTACTCATCTCATATTTTGAAAAGCAGGAAAAAATGAAATTTACTATATTAGTAATAATAACTGTCTTGTGTGGGCGAAGCCGTGTGTCATAATACACAGAATTAAGGTCATTGTATAAAGGCTGTCCCGGATAAAATTCCATTGCCTTATATCGCGAAAACGGATGTAAAAATGAAATGTAGTAAAAGCTTGAAGAGGGAAGCTTAGTTTATAATTACATTTTTACTTCCCGAGAGTAAGCTAAGGATGTATAGTAATCGAGTCCATCGTCGAATCTTCCCGATGTTTTAAACTTATCGTAAGTATGGTAAATTTGTAATCAAAATATACCCCTCAAAAAATTGATGGACGTCATCTCAAAATTTTGCTGAATAAATCTATCCAAAATGTGCAAAATATGATAAGTGTGTACTTGTGGTTATTCACTGCATTAAAAAAAAAATAATTTCTTATAAAGGAATTCGAAAAAGCTGGATTTGTTGTATTGTACTTCAGGGGCGAAGGAAGTTCTGTCGAAATAACCTTCGACCAATTTTTTTAAGTAGCAATGTGTATTTTTTCAACATATTTTAACAGATCATTAATTACAGTTTAATAGTATAACACTTACATGTGTTGTATCAGTTTTAAGTTTAAATAATGTGATGATTTAAAGAAATATCTCTAAATGCTATGAAAACAGATGTGGAAATATAGTTACACTGCCTGTCGACAATGATTCAATTTTTTAATTATAAAAAACATTTATTATGTAAATTGGGTCGACAATCTAGCTCCCTACTCGACATCTAGCTCCCATTACAGATTGAACCCCTTTCGATTTATTTTTGTGGGGACAAGTCGCAAACCGATAGGAAATTTTGTGTTCAATGTGAAAGACTATACTTCGAATAAATACTTCGATGTTTTTAGAAGAAATCTTACAAATTGTTTACAAAAAAAAGCGGTAGGTATCACTTAAATTTTTTTTATATTCATCTTTTTTTATCGACTAAAAATGAAAAATAAGAAGTGTTTTATATTATTACTAGACAGCGGATGACCGTCGGCCTAGGGAAGGTCAAACTCGGTACGGCTCGTACGGGATGGGAATTCAGTGCTGTTACGGGCTGCACTTCGTTTATTTTAGAACAGAATAACGCTGCTTCGTTGCATTCTGCTGTTCATTCCCATTCTCATTTACTTACCCGTCTTACCAATTAAGTTTTCGTTAATTGTATGTATGGAATAGGTGACGATCAAATTCAGTAATTATCATCCGCTACTGAGTGCCGGCGATTCACGTGTTCCCACCTATAAGCGTGACGTAGCCCGACAGAAATCCGCTCTCAAATCATTATAATCGTAATTTAATGATCTATCAAAAGTCGTTTAAAAATTCGTTGCAATTTAGATACGCCATATCGTAATAATTCCCTCTTCGAGCAAAAACAATGACGTTTACAGAATTTAAATATCTCGGGTTGTTTGCAAGATATAAGATCGCCGAGTTTTATCAGGGACACCTGCTTACAATATTCCCAATACTTTGGAATAAGCTCGATTAATAGAGCCTTATTTTACATTTTTTTAAATGCTTACACTTTTAGATAGTTCCCCTAAAGATATACTTATTTCAAAAAGGATTAAAATCTTCATGAAATATTTCCCACTTTTCCCACCTTTCACGATTTGTATTTGCAGCAAAGCTTGAAAGTGAAGTCTTTAATTAATATTAATGTTTCCTATTCCTATTTGACAAGGTGAAAATTGTGTCACTAACTATTTTTTAGCGTAAAAAGAGTCCGACCACAGGCAAATACGTAACTTCCGTTTCTAATTTTTTACTCTAAACTCAGTTTTGACTCTTACTGTCTAAATTACTATGATATTAAATTGCAAAATAGCATTTGTTAAGTGATCAAAATTCAATGTTTGTGATCAGAATACGATCTCATTGACTTTATATTTATAATATTTCATAACATTATCTTTTAATTTTTGTGCTTTAATCAGAAGTGGAGATATGTAGACATAAATGGGGTAATTTAATTTTTCTTTAAACCTATGTTAAAAAGCTAATAACAAACCAATACCCAATTTTTATGTAAATTTAAGTCAGTTTCCTGTTACTAATTTTCACGTAATTTAGGTATTCTTTCGTCATATCCTTGTCTCCCCATCCCCAGACCAAGTCATCACTATGCTCATGATCTTCTAAGCATTTTATAATCTTTTCTATCTTTCTAGTACCATCCCCAGTCCGCATCGCTCTTTTAATTATTGATTCCTCAGAAACAATTTTCAGATCATAGGCCCACCCCAGTGCTGCCATTAAGTTGATAAAACTCGTAGTTAAATTGAAGCGAAGCTTTCCAAATTCTGCTGCTCTATAATCCCATGGGAACGTATGATGATAGTTATGCCAGCCTTCGCCTAACGTCGCGACAGACACTATAAGAGATTCCGTCGGCAAAATATTCCTGAAAACGTAGACCAAAATTACTTATTTTATTTACAGACAACTTAACTTACTTGTCGTAGGGTTTGGTACCGTAAATATGAGCAATACTATTAATAACAAACATAGAATTGCTGCACAAGCAGTACCGAAGCATAGTAACTATAAAAAATGAGTTTTCAAGAGTTTCGCCCCAAAAGTAGCACGGTATCATTGTCGGTATCAAAACTCCAATAAACGGTGCAAACAACATTAAATAATACCTAAAACAAAACCTTAAGAAATTCGATAGCATAAAAGTTAACTTACTTCTTCTGAAACATTAGTATTTTATCCGACTGCAGATCATCAAATCTCATACTATTATACTTCTCTAAAAATTCCGGTTCTGGTTGAATCAGCAACCATCCAATGTGACAATAGAAAAAACCACGTCGAGAGTTGTGTGGATCAGCATCGGTGTCTACGTATTTATGATGGATCCTGTGGTAAGAAGACCACTGATAAGCGTGGTTTTGAAGAGTTAAGGTTTGGAAAATAATCAGAAGAATTCGAAGTGGAAGTTTAGCTTTGTAACTTTTGTGAGACCACAAACGATGTGTACCAGCAGTCATTCCCAATATAGCGAGAATCAGAATCAAAAGACCTGAAATTTAAAAAAGTAATAATAAACTAAAACTGTACATTAGTGATGTTATAGTTTATTATAAAACATTACCAAAAAGCGGAGTTTTCCACTGCGCGCTGGCGAAACATAAGTAAAGCCCATACACAGCGGTTAGGTGCATTATTATGTTTAAAATAATGTTTCTCCAGTGAAATTTCCATTTGTACACTTTTTTTTCTTGAAGTTCGGTCATTTGCAGTTCAGACGTTTGAACTTTAGTTGTGCTTCGTGGTGGCATATCTGCAAGAACATTTGTTAGTCACTTCTAAAAATTAAAAGCAACCTAGTACGCAACATTTATGCCTGGAAACTATTATTTTATACCAGGGCCTCAGCTTACCTAAAAATGAGTGTAACTGCTTTAGATATTGCAATATTTATTGCTGCATATTTTTTCAATTTATAAAAAATAGGTGTCGTGCATTAGTTATTCAAATAGCATTATGCAAAATGAAATTAATTACTGATAGTAGGTTAGGTAAATTCATGTTAATAAATGTTTGTTTTCGTTTAAGTAAACAACTTGCAGTTTAATTTAAATATTCTTAAAAAAAATACTATCATTATTTCTTAACAAATTGCACATACAGTAGTAAAACGTCTCTACATAATTTTATTTCAAAGTAAATAACATTTCGTTCGAATGACACAAAATTACTCTAAAATTTCCCTAATGAGTTCGGAACTTTAGAAAATTATATGTATAATAAAGTTGCCAAAACCAGATAGATAACCAGCGTCTTCGTGTGTGAAATGTCATGAAAAGACAATATTAGACATTCATCAAAAAGCCTTTATTTGCCTCAGCTAAAGCAGGGTACTTAAAACTCTATATTTCAGCTGAAAATACAATTACTTACGTAAATTACGAACTCCGTTTACTTTAAGACACAATCTGATATTTTAAACATGTTTTATTTTATTTTTCGTTTCAAATAAATTATGGTAATAAAAAATAAATGTCCATAATATATATATTTAATAAAATACGACTGGCGTTCTAAATTATGTGTACGCGCCATCAGAAAACCTGATTTATAAATATGCGCGATAAAATGGACATTTACAACGACGAATGAAAAAATTCTTACTGGTTTTCGGTTAATAGATCGTACTCATGGTTTTATCGAAACAGGGCTTACATAATCTTATCCCCTTCCCGACAGCGGATTACGCTTGGCATGGCTTACGTAAACCTCGCCGCCCGCCACATATTAATTGCCTTTGCGATCACTACCGGGATTATGCCGAGTGACGCAATTTCTTCTACGACGAGCGCATCACGCAGAGAGCCGCAGTTCCGTTCACGCGAGACGAGAGGACTGCCCTGAAGCTGCAAATTTCGTGAAGTAGAGCAATTCCATCTAAACCCTGATTTCCTCAATCCCTAGATTTGACTTGTACCCCTCCAAGCTTAATTTATTTTGATTAAAAATATTTAAACTTTGTTATTATATGCTTATAAAAAATAGATAAATATTATATTAAGAGTAAGTTGATAGTAAAAGATCTGGGTGTAACGTCCACCCTACTAACAATGTGGGTTTTAAATATGTAGTATGAGACTTCAGTGAATTTAATTACTACACTTACATATCTTACAGAAATTCAAAACGCCTTGTTTTTACTTTTTAACAAATGAATTGACCTCCTTTTTTCACCTTTGACATGCAGTTTAACGAGTCATGTAACGAACATCGAAATTCTATCTTCCAGCGATATTCGAAACAATAAAATACGGTGTAAATTCGTTGAAATACTTTGAAAATGCTTAACTAAGAAAACGCGATTATTTAATGTTGTAAGCTGCGTTAGTTTAAAAATGAGTACGCGGTAAGCGGTAAGAAAAGAGGTCAGTTTTGTAGAAGTTACAAGTTGACCAAATGCAAGTAAGCAAAAATCTAGACAGCGCTACTTCCACAGATTCACGAACTGAGTTTTGCTGTTTCAAATTCGTAAATTAAATTATGCTTTAAAAATACGCTTGAAAATTATGGCACGCACAATAATATTCTAGTGTGGAAACAAATTTTAATTCTTGTAATACTTTCTGCATAGTGTAAAATGAATAACGAAAAAATAGAAAACTACTGATAGTAGGTTAGATTTTTTAAAAAGAAAATAAAAATCTGCTGCGAAGGAGATAAAACAATTCTCTGTGGATTATGGTTTTTTCTACATGTTATTTTTCATTTAAATTAATCCCTATCTGTTGGTTTTAGCAAATAAGGCTGCGCCTCCTTCGTCAGTTTGTAAATTTCGGCCAACAATTTATTAATCCGTTGCTTTATTGAACAAATGAAATAATTTGTTTCATTTTACCCGGATTAAAAATATTAATACGATCTCACACTGCCATAAAGATGGAAGAGCAAAACCATCAATATTTTGTAAAAAAAAATCCGCTAAGTGTAACGCTGATTTATTTTAAATTTTTATTAGCCATAACAAGAAAAAATGCTTCTTATAATTATATCGATTCAAGGTAAATATAGACAAAAATTAAATAATTCGTATAAAACGGAGACTGTCTTAAGTTAAAAAAAAATTAATCACGCGAGAACTGTATTATTAGAAGGACAATAAAAGCGTTAAATTTTATAAATAAAGGATAATCGATGGCTTATGTTGCCAATGTCGTAGGAAAGCACGATTCTACCATAAGTCGTATGGAAAAATGATGAGATAGGTTCTTGTCTTCAAAGATCAGGATCAATAGAAGACGCACAACCAATGTCCTCCAAAAAGAGCTCGCAACTGGTCCAAAATGATAAAAAGACGTGTAAAAGAATCAGGATTGAGTAGCACAAGAACCACCACTCACCCGGGAGCAAAATAGAACAAAAATTACACGAGTAAGATTTGTTAGAAACCACATGAACATGGACGGTTGATGACTGGAAGAGCGTTTTATTCCTAAGCGAAACGAAAGTTAGTCTAATATGATCTGTAGATCGACGTGATCATATGTGGAAGATTTGGTAACATCTCTTTCAATCGTCAAACAGAGTTAGTTGCCATTCGTAGGACAGGAAGCTGAATTTTTAAATATTCACAATATTATCGATAGTTTAAAACGAAATAACTCAAATGACATACATAAACTAAATATGAACTTGATCATAGAATAGATATAAAAAATATAATTATTTCCCCATTGACACGATTAATAAACGATTATATAAAAAACACTGTGTTTCCAGACTATCTGAAAACTGCAATAGTCGTTCCTATATACAAGAAAGTTGCTCTTCTTCCAATACTTTCTAAAATTATTGAAAAAATATTATTTATACAACTATACAACTATTTTGAAAGCAATGAGCTATTTAAGGAGAACCAATTTGGTTTCAGAAACGGAGTATCAACAGTTGACGCTGTAATGAAAGTCGGTACAGGAATTTGTAACATCGGCCCAGGAAGAAGATATTGTGACATTTTTGGATTTATCCAAGGCCTTCGATTGTGTATCTCAATATATTCTTTTAAACAAATAGTAAACTTCAAAAAGACTTTTTCTGAATCTCTCCCAGTAAATCAAGGGGTCCCACAAGAGTTTATCCTGAGACCCTTACTTTTCTTATCTTCGTGAACGATTTTCCATCGTCTACTAAATGCCGCTCAATCTTATATGCGGATGATACCAGCTTATTAAATAAAATAGACCCTACACTGTCGTCCTCATATCATGAGCTAGGACAATCTGAAGCCTTGGAGCGGTTTTCAGCTAACAAGCTAAAGTTAAACATCGACAAAACCACAAAAATCAAGTTTTCCCTAACAAAATCTGTAAACTTAAGGAACAATGTTAAAAGCGCATATTTTCTAGAATTTCATCCGGACCCTAAGTTATCTTGGACTACTCATGGTGAGTTTACTGCAAGAAAAATAACGAAAAATATTTTTTTAACTTCCGTTTGAATACCTCCGCAATGTGTATTTCGCAATATGTGACTGACATCTTAGGTATGGTTCCTTTTGTGGGGGCATACCTCCATACGACGTCGTCTATTCCGACTTCAGAGAAAAGCAATTCGAATAATGGCTAAAATTCAAAGAAGACTGTCGAGCTCACTTTAAGATTAAATTAAACTACCTTCAGCCTATATTTATAACTGTTTAATATACTTATATCAAGCAACACGAGAATGATTTCTCAATACACAAGCATAATACTAGGCACAGAAACAATGTATGCCTGAAAGTAAGATTAAAAGAATCACAAATGCGTTTAATTACTTCGCAATAACATTTTATAACAAAGCTCCGGGATATACTAAAGAGTCGCCTATAAAAGAATATCAGAACATTACAAAAAAACTGCTAATATCGAAAACATATTACACCTACGATGAATTCCTAAATGACAAAACGCTGTAAAACTTCAATAAACGTTACAATTTTCTAGTTCGTATCACATATGGCTAGCTTTACTACTACACCAATACTTTAGTTACAATAAAATATATGTTCCATGTTATACTGTAGATTGTATGTTATATGTTGTAGTTATGTATTGCTTTATATTAATTTAGTTGTGACATGTACCAAGTGTCATAACTGATGCTATGTGTGAAATAAATTACTTACTTACTTACAACCATGAATGTAATTATTACCTAGAAAAAATCACAGTTCAGCCGACATATTACATCATTTACTCCCTTTGTGGACTCCCATTTTCAATTCATGCAGTACATATAATGTCCATTTTCAGATAGCGAGAATGGTTATGGATTACCTGAATCGTGTACATATTTTTATTAAGGACTGGCCAGCTAACAATCCCCATTTAAATCCCACTGAGCACCACTGGGATGAGATTAACAAAGCGGTGAAAAGTCAGACACCCGTGCCAGCTAGGACGAATAATCAATTGGTGAACGCAGTGACTGAATAATGGGAAAATACTCCCCAAAAAGTTAACCAAAACTTTATATCTAGTTGCCAAGTTTGTTAATTCAACGGTTTTTCTAGTTTATTTCATTGGTTTTCTGCTTTTAATAATCATGAAGTCCTACATACGGGTTCTATGTATTAAAAAATACTAATAGTTGGCAATGAGAAAAATTATACCCTTTGTTGTTTAATAGAACGGTACGTTAATTTTGTCCATAAAACCACCAGAATAACTTCCACGTAGTTCATTTTGTGGGGGTCCTAAGATATAACTACTTACCATTTATATAAAATACGTATTTGCAAAATGCGATGCAAATTAATTATAAATTATACTTAAATCCTTAAAACTATTTTTCTTTTTCACTAATAAAAATAATCA